ACAACAGAGTAGGTGTTCTGCATGTGAGTCATGGAATTCACTGCTTTGTGTGGATCCGTAGGCCCAGGCATAGCATCTTCACTGGTCTCCCCTGGCAGATTTGGGTGATGGTTGCCACTGCCTCTGATACCTATCCATATTGTGTTACACAGATCTGGGCAGACCCGGGTAAATACGCCCTGATGGGAGCTGCTGCTCAGCTTGGTAAGTCCCAGCTCTTGCCCTATTTGGTGAGTGGGCCTCACTTGTACCCTGCCCACCCATTTTGAGTTCCACCAAGGCTGCCCTTTGCCATTCACGTGAGCAAAATAGAAAGTGAGGCAGATGAGATGTGCCTCATAGCACAGCCAGGGTGATAGTCAGGGCCCGGCAATAACCATCTTTGCTCTGGGGTCTGGAAAGATGGGTGGGTAAAAAGATTGCAAACATAGCAGAGCTGGGGATCCTGTGTTTAAAGGGATTGGGGCTTATGACTACCCCCACAGGTGGGATCGTGAGAATGACTCTTAGTCTGACAGTCATCATGATGGAGGCCACCAGCAACGTGACCTACGGCTTTCCCATCATGCTGGTGCTGATGACTGCCAAGATAGTGGGCGATGTCTTCATTGAGGTATGCAGCATGAGAGGGGTGATCTGTCCTCTGCTTACTCTGGATGCTGACTTTGTAGCCTGACACTGGGGTTTGAGGGATCTGCAGAAGGAAGAGGGCCCATTGAGCCTACTCCCTTCTTCAGGAGTAGGGCAGTGGTGGGGCCCTGGGGGAGGCAGTGTGCCTTAAGGTCCCCTGGGAAGTGTCCTGAATCATGACTCTGTATCCAGGGCCTCTATGACATGCACATCCAGCTGCAAAGTGTGCCCTTCCTGCACTGGGAGGCCCCGGTCACCTCACATTCGCTCACTGCCAGGTATGGCCAGCTGACCTACTAAGCTCTCAGGTTCCTGGGTGCTGTGGGTGGACATGGACAGGGAAAACACTGAATGCCTGTGGAGAGCCCAGGTACCAGGTTCCCACTGTAGCTGTCCATGACTGTTCTCCCAGTGCCTGGGAAATGGGATCTTAGGGTCCCAAGTCTTAGGATTGTCAAGTATTGATATGATAACAAAGCTCTTAAGGAAGTACCTTAACAGCATGTAGTATAAATGCCTCTGAGATTGTATCCTTGGGTTGGGCCTCTTGGCAGGGAAGTAATGAGCACACCTGTGACCTGCCTGAGACGGAGAGAGAAGGTTGGCATCATCGTGGATGTCCTAAGCGACACGGCATCCAATCACAATGGGTTCCCCGTGGTGGAAGATGTGGGAGACACCCAGGTAGTATGGGCACCTCTCTGAATATTGATTTCTTTTTATTTTGTATCCTGAGCAGCATATGTTGGGGGAGTTCATCTTGTAGTTCACCTGAACAAGATATCTTTTTTTTAAAGATTTATTTTCATTCTATTTATGTGTTTTGCCTGCATGTGTACCAGCTGCATGCCTAGTGCCTGCAGAGGTTAGAAGAGGGTATTAGATCCCCTTGGAATTGGTATTACAGATGGTTGGTTGTAAGCTACTATGTGGGTGCCTGGAATCAAACCCAAGTCTTCTGCGAGAACAAGTGCTGGTAACCACTAATCCGTTTTTCCAGCCCGTGAACAGGAAATCTTGTGTTGCATGTAAAGTAAAATCCCTTTCTTAGTCTCTACAGACTACAGGCCTCATGTGGTTCTGACTGGACTGAACTTCTCAGTCATGGTGTTGTGGCTGTGGCATCTGTCAGGAGGTGCTGCTGGGATGTGAGCCCAGCTAATGTTTATCCCCTTGCCCGGTTCTTATTCTGCTGGGTTGTGTTAGATATTGGCACTGGTAGTGCTTGAAAGAAATGTGAGAAACATACTTGGCTTATGTCTTGCTACCTGTTGATTCCATTCTTAGCAGCTGGCTTGCATGCTCTGCTGACAGAGTTCGCCCTGTCTCAGATACTTTAGGGATTAGCAGGAGCGTGTGGGAAAGATGCCCACTTTAAGGCCTGTGCTCCGAGAAGGTGGACCACTAAACAACAACCATGGACCAGTGGAGAATCTGGTCAGAGTTTCCCACTGCAGTCTCAAGGCCTCTGACTCTTTTCCTCTTCTGCAGCCAGCCAGGCTCCAAGGCTTGATCCTGCGCTCCCAGCTCATCGTGCTCCTGAAGCACAAGGTGTGTCCAGCAGTCCATGGGTGGGCATGCCCTGGGCACCATCCTTCACAGTGACATACACATAACTGGCTGCTGCCTGCAGGTGTTTGTGGAGAGGTCCAACATGGGTCTCGTGCAGCGGCGGCTGAGGTTGAAGGACTTCCGTGATGCCTACCCACGCTTCCCCCCAATCCAGTCCATCCACGTATCCCAGGATGAGCGGGAGTGCACCATGGACCTTTCTGAATTCATGAACCCCTCTCCCTACACAGTGCCTCAGGTACTTATTGACCCAAAGGAGGCGGGGGCGGGACTGGGGTATGATTGACCTCCAGGGTCCAAGCTCGATGCCTTGTACACTTTGAAAAGGTGGTAAAGAACCTCTGGAATCTTTGGAATGACTGCTGCCAGATAGATAGGAGGCTTCCAGGGATTGTGCACGTGGGCCTTGCTGCCTGGGCTGGACCATTTGGCCAGAATTCATCAGGAGCAGCCTCAGAGAATTTGGGCTTCAAGTCGTAGTGGACCTAAGAGAACCCCACTAGCAGCACACAGGGACTTGGAGTCAGGCATGGAGGGGAAGGGACAGCTCAGGACCCTGGAAACACCTGGTTTGGGGGAGTTGAGCCTCTTTTCCACAGTGGGGTGAAGTGTGCTAATGGCAGTTGTCTAACTTTGCAGGAGGCGTCTCTTCCTCGAGTATTCAAGTTGTTCCGGGCCCTGGGCCTGAGGCACTTGGTGGTAGTAGACAACCGCAATCAGGTGAGGCTGTTCTCTGTTCTGCTAGAGTTCTGGAGCTGGCTCTGCTTCCTGTATCCCTATTAGATTGTGGGTGGGCATTGGATCTTGTCTGTCTCAGAACAGTGAGCCTATGACCTAGCCTGGTGTTGCACACCTACTTAGCACAGTATGTAGAGTATGCCATCATATGGAGCAGAAGTAACCTGGTGCTGTTTCTGCAGGTGGTCGGGCTGGTGACTAGGAAGGACCTGGCAAGATACCGCCTAGGGAAGGGAGGCCTTGAAGAGCTTTCCCTGGCCCAGACGTGAGGGTTGGCTCTACCCTTGTGCAGTGGCACCCGAGCCCCTCTGCACCTCCTCCCAGGGTCCCTGGTCTCAGCCAAAGCCTTGCCCCCTGGGCAGTGCAACAGCAGGAGCAAATGCCTTCCCTGGGCCTGGCTGGTGTGGAGGCCAGACCCTTTGTCTTGGGCAGTTGGTTTACATCATCAGCACTTTCCTTGTTCCCTGAACCCTTCGCCCCTTGGACTTGCCCCTCTCCTGGGTTCCTTCTCCAAGGATGAAATGTGCGATCGCACCCCTTGTGGCTCACTTTTCAGAGCCAATAGAAGCTGGTGCGTGTGTGTTTGTGTGTGTGTGTGTGTGTGTGTGTGTGTGAGAGAGAGAGAGAGAGAGAGACAGACAGACAGACAGACAGACAGACAGACAGACATGACTACCTATTGCTGTTTCTTCTCTGGCTCTGAGCACCTATGCTGTGGTTGTACTGCCCACACTAGCCAAGAGCTTCAGCAGCAAGGGCATGAGGAGGTGTACAGCCTGGAGCAGGCTCTATTGGGGAACCCATATGTGCTGTCTCATGTCATTGTCTAGAAGATGGGGAGACTGGTTCTATGTCTAGGGCTTGAGAGCTGAAAATCCCATGAAGATTGAATCTGAGTCCACCCACATCTGCCCCAGGCTTTCAGAGCTGGGGGTCATGGCACTGGACCACAACCGGAAGGCAAGTCTTTCCTCAGCACTTAGGACCCTGATGTTCATAGTGGCTTGCTTATAACTGTACTGTATACACCCTGGGCAGTGACCTCCCAGGACCTGGCCAGCTAAGGGTGGCCGTAAGATGAGCCTGAGACTCCCTAGGATGGTGGCTCTGTGAGCACCTGAACCATGGAGCCTCACTTCTAAACCCTGTATTGTCAAAGCTAGCTCCACTGAACCAAGCTAGGTCTGACATGCATCAGTCACCTTCAGAGTCTTCTCCCCAGGACACTTTGTAAAGATAGTTGCAGTGTCTCTGGCACATGTCTGTCACAGGCCGCGTGGGTCCTTCTTTGGAACGTTGGCAGCTGCTGCCTCTCAGTTGTCATCCCTCCAAAGGAGTGGCTCTTTCTCCTGTAAGGAGCTGGACTAAGTATGTTGTTGAGTCTGGATATGAGAAATGAGAGACTCCCGTCTGCCTGGGGCTCAGCATTCTGGGGAGTCGGGCACGTAGCATGATGATAAACTAGTGCAGGCGGCCCTCTATACACAGTAGCTGCTGTCTGGGGGGGGGGGGCAGCTCTTGACTACTACGGCTAGCCTAGGGCCCAGTGGATGGGTTGTTCAGGGACCCTGACCTCATCCCCTTCTCACAGCCTCGCTCTCAGGCTCACTACAGTGTGGTTTCTGTCACCTGCTTGGATGACATCCTGTCATCAAGCCTGGGCATGCCAGGCTCTGCATAACAAGAAGTTGTAACTGACCCACCTTGCCTGCTCCGCTGGCCCTGGTGGGTAGGTCTTCATGACAAAGCCAGGGGTGCTCTGGATTGGGAGGGGCCATATCTAAGTTTGACCCAAGGGGATGAAAAACACTGCACAGGGCCTCAAAGACTTGGTACCAAAAAAGCATGTGCAATCTGTCCACAGTTCTGTGTTGGCTACATGTTGAAATGATATTTTTGGATATATTAGGTTAAATAAAATAATCAAACCTTGTCTCTCCCAATATTCTCATTGTGACTCATGGGAAGGCTGAAACCCCAATGGCCTCATCTGTGACTGCCATCTTACTCTCTGGGTATCTGTGCCTAGAGGCAGGGCTAGCTGTGTCTCATTTGCTTAGGACCCTCACTTTCTGCTCTATGTGTGGAACTCAAGGGCCTGCGAAGGTTCCTGGACATCCTCTTTATCATGATCATAGCCCAGTAACTCCAGAGCCAGAGGAGGCCCTTTTGCAAGATGGATACTTCATAATCCCCCCACATCCTTCCAGGAACCAGAAGATAGAGAGGCCACAGGACAGGGTAGATGAGGACTCAGGTTCCACTGGCAGTTGGCCATGAAGTCATAGGGTTCTGTGAGAAAAAGAAGGTTCTAGACTAACTCAGCTGTACCTGTCTCCTTCAGGAAGATTCACTGAAGAGGTGGGTGGAAGGGCAGGAGCCTACTACCTCATACTTAACTGCTCTCGGGGCCACAGCCTCTCCTGACTCATCTTCTCCCAAAGGGCCACAGTCCCCACTCCTGACCCTGTCTTCTCCCCAACATCCAGACCTTCCCTCTTGACCCTCACTTCCCTAAGTCCCATAGCCTCTCTAAATCCTTTGCTCCCCTGACCCAAAGCCTTCTCTTCTGTCCTTCAACTGATCCCCAGTCCCTGCAGCTTTCTGGCCTGGGAATACTTGCCTCCCTCCAGCCAATCTCAGCCACCCTGGCCTTGGTGTCCGGCTCTGGACATCCACAGAGGTACTAATGCCACAAAGCTGTGCTACAGGTAGTGACTGCTGGTGAAGCCATGTCAGGTGAGTGGAGAGGGGGTGAACCTCTAGCAGGGCTGCTCTCTCCGACCCAGCAGGAGTTTGGGATGGCACTGAGCAAGATTACATGAGCTCGCTAGGTTCCTCCTTCTGTTGCTAGCAGACAGCCCCTCGCTGGGGCTCTCACCTTCACAACTGAACACTGTCACACTCGAGGACCTGGAGCTTCTCTTAACAGAAGGCCTAACCAGTCCCGAGCCCTTGGGTGTGGATACCTCAGAGAGGTATGAGTCCAGTGGCCCAGCGTCCAGCTGCGTAGTCCCTGAACACGATACCCCGAAGCAGCGGAAGCAGCTGGAGCAGTGGTGAGCCTTGCAGAGTATGAGAAATGGAGATGACACACGGAGGGGCGGGGGTAACTTCCAAGAGAAGCACAGCTTGACCCAGCTGCTCTGGCCCTGACCAGGGTAGCTGAGCTTCAGGCTGAGGTGGTTCGCTTGAGGGCACACAGAGAACGCTGTGAGCATGCCACACTGGGCCTGCTTCGTGAGCTGCTGCAGGTTCGTGCTCGTGTGCAGCTCCAGGCCTCAGAGCTGCGCCAGCTGAGGCAGGAAATGCAACAAGTGGCCTGGAGCCCTGAGAAAGAGGCCTTAGAGGTGAGACATTGGGCAGAGCAGCAGACACAGGCACGCGACTCTTCCTGGTGCTTGGAACTGCTTACTGGACCCTAACCCTACTGATTCCCACGGCTCCATGCTCTGACTCCTACACACCCACCTGCACTGGTGCTGGAGGGCCTCTGTAGGCAGCAGACTTGGCCTGCCTAGTCCTCCTTTCCTCCTTACAGCTGTCTGGGCCCCAGAGCCAGAACCAGATACAAGCCCTGGATAAAAGGTAACACACAGAGAGACAAGCATAAGCTTCAGTGGGAGGGACTGGGACCACTGCTTCCCTGTAGCAGCTGGCATTAGGGCCCATGTGGGCATCCCTTACCCCAGGTGGTAGTGTTTCAGCGATACCTATAGTAGTCCAACTCAGACTAGGTTCTGCATACAGTGGGGCCAACAGTCCAGGCGGTGGGAGGCCCCATGGCTACACCTGCAGCAACAAAGGCTGCCTAGCTGCTCTGGGGCTGGCAGAGAAACTCCTTATGCCAGACTCGTGGAGGTCCGAGAGGCTATGACACAGATCAGGAGGACTCAGGTGCTACAGGACACAGAGCGGAAATGTTCCGAGCAGGAGATGAACCTCAGGTGGGCCAATCCCCTGGATTATCGCCTAACTAGTTTTGTGTGCATGTTGAGAGTCTCAGGCCTGCCCTGCCCTGTGCCCCTAGTGCCACCAGTGGGCTGTCCTCTGCCATTAGTGCCACACTGCTGACTGCTGGGAACCCCACCTTCCTGCTCTCCTTTATTTGGTGCCTTGCCTTCACTAGGGACTCCAAAGTTTAATTCCACTTCCATGTGTGATCTGGGCAGGTTGTGGACCCAGGGTCCCAAAGCCCACCAGCCTCCCTGTGGTTCCTCAGTTGAGTTAGTGTTACCACACCTACTGCCTCTAGGGTGACCAAGCTGACTGATTTGCTGAGGCAAGAGGAGCAGGGCCGGGAAGCAGCCTGTAGCACCCTGCAGAGGAACCAAGAGGACACCAACCAAAAAGTAGACCGTGGGTTGTCCAAGATGCAGGTACCTCTTGAAAGCCAACCCTAGCTAGCCTAGGCAGGAGTCATCCAAAAGTTCCTGAGTGACCGCCAGTGTCCCTAGCCTGTGGCCTCCTGCGGTTGTTTATCAGTGTATACAGTAACACAAAGGTAGGCTCACCAGTGCTGCCCTGCCTGATGTGGTGGTGGCCTCTCATCCCACCTGGCATTGCCCGCTCCCTGACATTAGCTGCGTTCTAGGGTATTGAGAACTTACTTGTGCTGTCACATAGCCACGTTTCAAACGCCGTGTTGCCTCTCACTGACTATCTCAGTTGAGCTATCAGAAAAGAAACATCCGGTCCTAAAAGCCCCTTCTGCAGCTATATTCACTCTCAGCTTTTCCCTCAAGTAGGAGTCACAAATTCCTAGGGCAGAATGCTCTCCCTTCTACTTGGAGCCCTTAAGAGGGGCCACCTCATGAGGCTGAAGAACAGTTCCGAATGCCTGCCACCCAGTTTCTTGGCTTTACAACTAGAGACTAGGGACTACAGCTGCTGTTCTGTGTGTCCAGTCTCCTCACAGGACAGTGTGGGCTGAGCAAACTGGGTGCTTCCAGCTGTCCCAACATCATTTTGCTGCCCAGGGGTAGTGGCATCTCCGTCTGAGCTGCTGTGAAGCTAACGCATTGGCATCAGCAAGAGTACAAGAGCTTTGGGCGAAGGGTTCCTTGTAGGCCAGGCACAGAGGGCCCAGGCCCTTTGAGGGCTCTTCAGCATTGGTGTCAGGACTTAACACCCCAATACCTTGTTTTTATAATAAAGTTTTATTGGCAAAGAGCCATGAACATTTGTTTAACAAAATGACAGTGGCAACTTTGGACAAGAGTTGGGATGCTTCACAGGAGACCCTGTGAACTTGAAATGTTTGCTGTCTGGTCATGCAGAAAAAGTGGCTGAGGGATTGATATGTAGCTCAGTTGATGGAGTGCTGGCCTAGCATGCACAAAGTTCTGGGTTCAACCTCCAGCACCCCCAAAACTGAGTGTGGTGGTACACATTTGTAATTCTAACCCTTGGCAGCTAGAGACTAAATCAGAAGTTCAGTATCATCCACTGCATAACAGATGTGAGGCTGGCCTGGACTATACGAGACCCTATCTTAAAAGAAAAACATAGACTGACAGTGCTACACACCTTTAATCCCAGCATGTGGGAGGCAGAGGCAGACTGGTCTCTGAGTTCGAGGCCAGCCTGGTCTACAGAGCGAGTTCCAGGACAGAGAAACCCTGTCTTCAATTCGCCCACACACACACCAAAAAAGAAGAGTAGCCAACCCTGTTTTAGGCTTCCCTCCTACAGGGCAGGGAGACCAGCAGTGGCTCAGATGATGTGAAAGCTTCCCTGAGAACCACCTTCTCCCAGACTACTGCCCAGGGCCTGAGAGCTCGGCCTGTTGTCAGGAGATCCCTGTGACCATGAAGAAGGTGCTAGGTAAATGGATACTATGAAGCAGAAGAGTTCTTAAGACCTTTCTTTGGTACATGTGGGGAGGTGAGAGCCTCACTGTAAAGCTCTGGCTAACCTCAAACTCCCAGCAACCCTCCTGAGTACCGCAGTTACAGGCATGTGCCACAGCGTTCCAGCGTTGTCAACTCCTGACAATCCTGGGGAGATAATAAGAGAAACATGTTCTCACTCCAAGTAGGGAAGGGGCCAACAGAGTTAAAGGGAGACTCTAAGTTCAGTCTGGCAGATAAATAAGCGTAGTGGGGCTTCTTACAGGTCCACAGGTAACACACGCAGTGCAACACCAAAGAGCTCCCGTGACCTCACCGTCAAAATGGTCCCTCTTCTATACTCCAGCATGGAGTAGTTGGGTAGGAGGGAGTGGTGGTTGTAATGACACAGAAAGGTCTTGTGACTCTCCCCGCTCTTGCCCAGAGGGACTGTTAGCCCCATTCCCATAGACAAAGCGACCTGCTCAGAGCCGTTTCTCATGGCCATTATTGCAGACCAAGATTCTCAGAGGTGACCACAGCTGTTCAACTCCATAATGGCACTGGCTACGTCAAGTCCTAAAGGAGACAACTGTACTACAGAGGGTGTGAGGTGGAGAGGCCAGAAGGCTAGGTTGGGCCTTCAGACCCTCAAAGCAGCAGGAGCGCAGCATAGAGAGGAGGCAAAGCCCATAGAGTTCTGTCTAGTTTTCCTTCCCACCCCCTTGATGAGGCCTGTGCTTGGGGTGCTCCCACTTGAATGGAGATACTCTCATACTGAGGCTCCAGCTCGGCATGGAATTTAGTGCCCATTGCACAACCTTCCCTGGATGCATCCGGGGCTCTGAAAGCTAGCATTTTGAGGGACAGTGGGTCCTATCTGCCCTACCTTCCTTCCTGCCCAATGCATGCAGCCTGGCTGTACAGGGACTGGAAACATGAAGGGATATACCAGGCAGGGAAGGATGACCAGTGAGGAGGCTTCAGGTGACCATGTGACTCCTCCCAGGACCAGGTGACTAAATTCAGCGAGGATATGAGCATCCGCTTCCTAAAGAGGGAGGCCAAACTGTGCAGCTTTCTTCAGAAGTGTTTCCTGGCCATGGAGCAGGTGAGGGCTTGGGCAGGGCCCAGTGTCCTCACGGATTGCCCGGTGTGTGGGGGTATGTCCCAGAATCACAGCAGCTAGTGCTGTCTCCACAGAGAATGAAGTCTTCAGAGAGCACACGTCTGATGGCAGAAAGCAGCCTTCGAGAGGAACTGGAAAGCCGCTGGCAGAAGCTACATGAACTGACAGAGGAGCGCTTGCGGGCCCTGCGGGCACATCGTGAGGTGGGTGGGCCTGGGTGGCCAGGAGGCGGGGAGATGGGATTGGCACCAAGGCTCAGGGCCACTTCTGCCACAGCAGGAGGAAGAAGGTCACCTGCTGGAGCAGTGTCGGGGCCTGGACAAAGCCGTAGTCTATTTGACCAAGTTTGTGCGACAGAACCAGGTGTCACTGAATCGTGTCCTGATGGCTGAGCAGAAGGCCCGGTGGGTGTCGTGTCAAGACAGTGGGCCACCCAGTCCCTTGCTCAGCTAACCACTACTGAGCTCAGCTGGGAAGTGTCCTGCTTCAGACCCTGCAGCTGTCAGCTAAACACTAGGCCAGTTGGACATGTTATGATAGACTAGCAGCCCTCTGCTAGAGCTCCTGTCCCTCCACCCTGACCCTCGCTCACAGCCCCTTCTTGGTAGCACCCATCCTCTGGTCCATAGAATCGCTTGGAAGATCCCAGAGCTAGAGATCAGGTGCCCTCACTGGGTAGCACTAAGGGACAGTTTGAACACCAATATACAGGGAGGCCAAGGTGAGCTTGGAGGAGAGCCAGGCCGGAGAGCTGGCCTCGTACGTCCAGGAGAATCTGGAGGCTGTGCAGATGGCTGGCAAGCTAGCCCAGCAGGAAACTCAGGGTGCACTGGAACTGGTAAGGGGCTGCGTGAGGTGGAGGTCAGCGGGGATCCTTGTGTATATAGGCATCCAGCTAGCCTCCCTGACTCCATTGTCTCGTGCAGCTTCAAGAGAAGAGCCATGTCCTAGAAGGGTCAGTGGCAGGTCTGAACCAGCAGCTGAAGGACTTGAGTGACCATTGTCTAGCTCTCAGCTGGAAGCTAGACCTGCAGGAGCAAACACTAGGCGTGAAGCTGTCCCAGGTGAGGTGGACAGACCCCCAAGGAAGGGCGGTAAAGGAGATGGGGCCAAGGGTAGAGACCTGATATCTGAACCAGGCAGGGCGGCTCCTGCAGGACTCTCAGTTTCTTGGCACTCTCTCTTTTTCTCTTTCTCTTTATCTCACTTTCCTCCCTCCCTCTTTCCCTTCCTTCCTTTCATCAATTCCTTTTCCAACCGAGCAGTGGTAGTACATGCCTTTAATCCCAGCACTCAGGAAGAAGAGGCAGGTAGATCTCTGTGCGTCTGAGGCCAGCCTGGTCTACAAAGTGAGTTCCAGGCCAGCTAAAAACTCTGCTTGAAAAAACAATGCAAACAAAGAAAAACACCTTTTAAAACATACAGTTCAGTGGATTTTGTTTGGTTTTATATTTTATTTGAGTTCTTTTATATATTTTTTTATTTATGTGTCTGTGTGCCACATGTGTGTTGAGTGCTCAGATAGGCCAGAAGAGGGCATCAATTTCTTGAAGCTGAAGTTACAGATGGTTGTGAGCCACCCAACATGGGTTCTAGGAACCAAACTCCGGTCCCCTGGAAGAGCAGCAAGTGCTTTTAACTGCTGATCCATTCCTTCAGCCCATAATTTTTTTTAAAAAATTGTTGTTTTGTTTTCTTTTCTCTTAATTTGGCTCACAACCATTTTTTTTAAAGATTTGTTATGTATACAGTGTTCTGCCTACATGTGTGCCTGTATGCCAGAAGAGGGCACCAGATCTTATTCCAAATGGTTGCTGGGAATTGAACTCAAGACCTCTGGAAGAACAGCCAGTGCTCTTAACCTCTGAGTCATCTCTCCAGCCCCTTGCTTTGATTTTTTTAAAGAGAGGATCTTACCATGTAGCCTAATCTGACCTGATACTCCTCATTTTCCTGCCTTATCCTCCTGAGTGTTGGGATCACACGTCTGAGCTCAACCCTAACCCTTACTAAGACTCAGTTACTTTAGTACATTCCTAGAAAAGTTAACAGCCACGTCAGCTTCAGAGCTTTCTCAGCACTTCAGAGAGAAACCCAGGGTCTAACAGTCTCTCTTCTCCCCCATCTGCTCTGAATTGCGGGCTGTCGGCCCTTAATTCCAACCCTTCCGTCTCGTGCTTCTCTCTTGAACTGCCTTCCTGGGTCATTCCTGTTGTGTGAACCCATGCTTCATCTCCTTACAGCTGGATAGCATTACTACATGTGGGCAGGCCATGCTTCGCCTCCCTCTCTGTCAATAGACGTGAGGGCCTGTTTTATTTGGTAGCTCCTGTGAAACATATTCTCTGATATGGCAGCTGGATCCCCCAACCTTGGCTGGCTCTGCATCCTTTCTGGGCATGTATGGCAAGAAAGAACAGCTGCTGACAGGGGCCTTTGACCACCATGTCTGTGCCCCTCCTGCAGTGTGTCAGTCTCTTCTCTATTCCTGTCACTACTAGCTGTCATCCCCTCAAGGACATGGCTCTGTTCAGCTGGATGACCTTGCCTAGGACGACCATCAGGGCTGCCATAGGTCTAGCATCCCTGTCCTCTGCAGTGTCTGGCCAGGTTGTCTGGGCCGCTCTGCTTCCTGTCTACCCACCTGTGTGCCATCCCTCACCAGATATTGAAATTGTAGGTGCAGGCTGCATGGGAAGGTGTAGAGAGGGAGTCCCTGCAGGATCTGGTCCGGTGGCTAAAAGAGGTCTCAGCTCACTTGCAGGAGGTGCAGGAAAAAGTGAACAACCTGCCCCAGCAGGTGGGTAAGGTCAGGGTGCAGTTATTCTTGAAGATCCAGGCCTTGGCTTGGGCTAGCCTGGTGCCCCCAGGTGGCTATGTCGAGTCACCTTAGGCGCCGACATTTTTCACACTTCAGATAGAAAATGTCTCCAACAAGTGTGTTCTTCACAAGAGTGACGTGGACCTGAGGATCTCTGCCGAGGGCAAGACCAGGTGAGGTTTGAAGCCTCCCCAGTCCCCTGGGACCTCCTGATTGTCACTGGTCTCCACAGGATTCTTCCAGGCCCCTCACCTCCACACCTGTGCTTGCCCCGTCCCCAGCCAATCCCACCCTGAGCTCTACCTCCTGTGGTATAGCTTGCATGCACTTTCAAGTTCAACCCTGTGACAGCCTCAGGAATCCCAGCTCTGGACTAAGCCTTTTGCCTTGAGCTCTGGGACCCCCTACAATCAGCCCTTGGTGCCCACAGAGAGTTTGAGGTTGAGGCTGTGCGACAGGAGCTAGCCACCCTGCTGATGTCTGTGCAGTTTCTGAAGGAGGAGAACCCCGGACGGAAGATTGCGGAGATCCAGGGCCAGCTGGCCACGGTATCCCTTGGGCCCCAGGAAGGCACCTGCATCTGTCTCCCTAAACTCCGGGGTCTTGGTGATTCTGTAGGAGTGGGTGCATCTGGACATCAGCAGTCCATGTCTACCCATGATTGGAGCTGTGTTTAGTTTCAGAAGCAAATAATAAAGTTAGAGAACAGCCTCCAGGCCAACAAGACCATCCAGAACCTGAAGTTTAATAACGAGACCAAGCTGGTGAGAGGAAACTCTGGGAGAACCATTGACCCCTCGCCCTCTGCCAGTCTACCCCAAGTCCCTCAGCTCCTGTCTGCTCCATGGGGCCCCAGGCACTTCACTGGCGGGGTGGTGCTGAACAGTGTTTCCTCCATATGAGGCCCTACTGCTGGACTTCCTCCATAGAAGATATCCCCACATACACACATCCTCTGCCGGCCGCTGTGATCCAGTCCCCATTTCTCTGCCGTTGTTTCATCCCCGTGGGTCCTGTTAACACTGTACCTCTACACTTGCAGCGGACAGAAGAGATCGCAACCCTGCGTGAGAGCATGCTGAGCCTGTGGAGCGAGGAGGGCCCCTGGCCACTGACACTGGGCAGCAAGCGGGTGTTCATGTCCCTGGTGAGGCAGCGGTTCTTCATCAAGGACATAGCCCTGGGCGACCTGGTCCCTGTGAACTCCTGGGGCGTGTATCAGGCTGTGAGGTAGGCAGCTGAGAGCCTGGGTCTCCCAGCTACCAGGAGTTGTGTTATGTATGAACTGTGTCTCTGGGCAGGTGGCTTCAGTGGAAGACAATCCTCTTGAACTTGGTGTCCCACCAAAGGCCAGGAGCAATCTCTGCGCTGACCTACTGGAAGCCTGCACCCAAGATCCTGTCCCAGAAATAAAGATGCCAGTTCTTGTACCTATTAGAGCCAGAGTCTCCTGTTGTCTGATAGAACAGCTTTTCCACAGCTCAGAGGTGTCAAGTAGTGAGAGGGACCAAAGTCAGAAGGTCCAGGTTATTTGACCCTGAAGGACCCTTCCTGCCCTGCTTAGCCCCAGGCCATTTTGTCACTTTTCCTGGAATTTCTGTACAGGGACACCCAGGCCACACCTGGGACCCACCCCAGCTGCCTCTGAGGACAAGTGTAAGGAGTAAGGACACAGGGTCCTCAGATCATCCTCATCCCTGCCCAGCTGCCAGTTAACACTGAAGTGCCACCAAGGGAGCCATCTGTGAGCATGAATCTGGAGAGTCGGCGTCTGTGCTCCTCTGTGTGATCAAGCAGTGTGTCCCTCTTCTGGCCTCTCAGAAAAACCTGAGCTTTGCACACAGCTCCCAGCCCTTGCCACCAGCCTAGCACAGGGCATGGGACATGGAATCATCAGCTCTGGCCATGCAGAGAGAGACAGCAGGGAGGGCTGACCTTTGCTACTGGCTTGAGTCTTGGTGCTGGCTTGGTAAAAAATGGGTCTCCCCAGACGGACGTGTACAAATGACTCATTGTTCTTGCCTGAGTTCTGTCCACTTGCTGTGGGCAGAGTTCTGAGACCTGATGTTTATTGGGGTCATCCAAGAACTGGTAGCTGGGTGTGGCTGGGTCTAGACAAGCATTTGCTCTCGCTTCTCAGTGCTGGTGGTGGCAGTTCTAGGCTCAGGATAAGCTCAGAACCTCTAGGGAGAATCAACTGCATGGCTGCTTGAATCGACTCACTAGGGAGGTGCCTGGACAACAGAGAGGCTGGGTGCCTGAGAGAGGGCTGCTGCTGCCCCAGCACACACCTGACCCACCTACTCACTAGATCTCAGTCATCTGTGTCTCCTCCAGGGCCTGAGTGCCTCCACTCTGCAGTTCGGAGCCACCCTCGGCAGACCAACTGGCCAGCAGATCACTAAAATCTGGTGTACCTGGATGCAGTAGGCCTAGTGGGTTGGGCACAGGCTCCTTCCAGAAGGATGGAGGCAATTTCCTTTGGGTCATGGGGGTAATGTGGCTATACTTCCTCTCTAGCCTCAGTCTTTGACAAGCTGACACTCTGGGCCTGGAGAACTGCCGAAGCCCGTAATCAAAGAGCTCAGCCAGGGGACCCAGTGGTGGCACCCTGTCTCCTCTGTGGCCCAGCCTGTACATCTGACCCTCAGATCCCCCAGGCAAATTCACACAGAGCTCAGCAGCCTCCTCTTCCTCTGGGGGCCCATTCTGGGCCAAACATACCAGATCAGCATAGTATAGATCCCGGGCAGAGCAGCTGGCTAGTTGGCTGTCAGAATAGATGTCTTGGGCATCTGGGTCTTGCCCTGTTTCCTTGCGTCCAAAGTACCGCTGGATGTCGCCGCTGATGAGCTCTGAGAAGCGCAGCAGCTGCATTGGGGTCTCCGGGCTGCTGGGACTCTGAGGAGCCACTCCTGAGCTCTGGGAATCTGGGCTGCAGCCCTGTGGCCTCTCATCTTGCAGCCCCTGGTCTCCCTCTTCCTCTTCCTCCTCCTCTTCTTCCTCTTCGGAAGTTTCTGGAGCCTCTAGGTCTGTGGGCAGGAAGGACTGGTGTGATGGCAGGGGCAACCGGAAGTCACAGACAGACCGTATCACACCAGCAGCCATCTTCTTGAGGTCTCCGAAATTCAGGGTGGGGTGGTCCTTGGGTAGCAGACACAAGCTGGGAGGGAAGTGAAAGGGCAGGTTGGCAAGTGAGGGCTGGCAGTGCCCACTGGATACAGCCCGAATGTATGGTCCTGAAAAAACTGCCTCGGCTCTTTCTTCTCTTGATCCCTGGGCCTCCTGAGCTCAGAGAGGACCTGCCTTAGTCAGAGAGGCGTACAGGATCCTCTTGTGTAGGGTGGGGCCATCATGGTACAGAGGAACCATTAGAACCCACCACAGCTGTGATCAGGCAGGCCACAGAGTAGGAGGCAGAAGACCTAGAGATCAGTACTGCCCAGGCAGGCAGGGACAGGCACTGGACAAGGAGTCTTCTTGGTCCCAGCATGGATTCCAGGGAAGACAAGCCCAGCACTCTGGCAGCTACTGTGGGGAACTTCAGGGTCTGTGGTGGACAAAGAGCCCCACCCGGCCTGGTTCTTCCCTAGCTACAGTCACCGCTCTGAAGTTCTTTTCGGAGGAGGGACATTTTGGGGATTTTTAGTTTTGTTTTTGTTTTTTTTTCCTGCTTTGGTTTGGTTTTCTTTTGTCTTGAGATAGATTCTCTCTTAGCCCTGACTGTCCTGGAACTTGGCTATGTAAACTAGATTGACCTTAGACTCACAGAGGTCTGCCTGTCCCTGCTTCCAGAGTTCTGGGATTAAGGGCATGTGTCACCATTTCTGGGAAGGGATTATTTTTTAAGAAAAAAGGTCTAGCTGGACAGTGTTGGTGTGTGCCTTTAATCCCAGCACTCAGGAGGCAGAGGCAGGTGGATATCTGTGAGTTTGAGACCAGCCTGGGCTACAGAGCAAGTTGCAGGACAGCCAGGGCAATACAGAGAAACCCTACCTAAAAAAACTAAAAAACAAAAAAGGGGGGAGGGAGAAGGAGGGAGGAGGAAGAGGAAGGAAAGAAGGAAAGAAGGAAGGAAGGGAGTCTCACTTGGAGAACCTGTGTCAACTCTGCCTTAGCCTCCTGAAAGCAGAGATGAGAGGCCTGAGCCACCACACCCAGCTAGCCCTGGGTTTTAATTTGATACCTGACCACAATGTGAGTGCCCCCCACCCATACCTCCTGTTAAAGGTGGGACGGACAGATAGAAGATCCCTAAAGGAGTGGACCCCACAGATTGCTGTGCAGGTCCCAAAAGGCGCAAGGACAGCTGTTGAGCCTAAGGAAGAGGAGGTGGCTGGGGGAGTAATGTGGCTCTTCCTGGCTGAATCTGGATCCTAGAGTCACCAGGCTCCTTCACAGAGGAAGGGGAGCAAGTGTCTACTTAGGTGTATCAGGAGATGATCTCTCTCTGAGAGGTCTGAGTAGGAATGGCCCTTGGTCAGAGCCCCTCAGGGTCAAACTGCACAGACCCTCCCTGCTATCCTGAAACCCTGAGTTTGGGCAACAGAGACTGGTCACTAGCAGTGTCTTACATTGTTGGGTCCCTCTGTCTCAGGAGGTGTCCTGTGGTCTGGACACTAGCCTTTGAGGACAACTGCTAATAGCTCAGTGCAGACATATTCCCTGTGGAAGGAATTCCTCCGCCCCATCCCTCCTCACCATCCCAGGAGACTCCAACCCATACACCCAGGCTCTTACCTGACGGGACTGCAGCATTCAATCAGCAGGCTCCTCCACCTGGGGTGCAAGCATTTATAGCTGGGCTCCACAACTGCCTGAGGCTGGCAAATATTTGGCAACGGCATTGTCATCGCAGACTGGGCAAACAGATCCCGTTTGCTTTAGCGCCCAGCAACCAGAGCCCCGCGGGGGGAGTGCCCGGAGACCGCCTCACCTGCACGCAGCCTGCCTGGGGACCATGAAGTGTTTGCCTCAGGCCCAGCTGGCCCACACCCTGAACCCGAGGACCCTTATCTGTGCTGCTGATTGGGGCCCCATCCAAGCCTTGTCAAATAGGCGGAAAATTAAATTTCATGCTATTTTGAGTTCTGGAGTACGCCTCTCCAGAGGACATCCTGCCTGCAGTGCATTCTATAAACCATGCTCTGCAGCATCAGGACCTAGAGCAAGGGGAAGCGACTGAGACTATGCAACCACCCACCAGGTCCAAGATAGGAGCTAATACTTGCAGTCCTCATCACCCCTTCCAAGCTCCTCCAGCCTCTGGGCCTTATTTGTGCAGCTAAGATCAACCATAACCATGTCAGTGGGCCCAGTAAGACTGTGAGGAGGACTCCCTTGTGGTGGCTGCCACCCACTTGCCCAGAACCCAGCTGTAATCATAGTCAGTCTGATTGAACCCTCTGTGTCTTGAGCATCTAGAGAAGGCACCTCCCTTCTCTGGTTGTAATACTCCTGGCTGCTCCTACACCTCAGTGGACTTGGGGGACTCCAATGCCTGCCTGTCCTCTCTGGTCCTCCTAGTGCTCTCGGCCTTTCTGGTGGTGTATTAGCTTCCTCTGGCTTCTTTAATTGCTGATCCCAAATTGGGTAGTTCAAGAGCAACAGGAAATTATTCTCTGTCCTCCTGGAGGCCAGAATCCAAACTGAGATGTCAGCAAGGCTGGTTTCTTGTGGGAAGTTGAGATCCTAGGGCTGCCGGCCTCTTGGTGTTCTTTGTCTTGAAGCTGTCATTACCATCGGTGCTGTCATCTTCACACAGCAAGGGACAAGGTCTTGCTATATGGCCTATGTCGGCCATAAACTGGTGGCCAACTGAGTGCGGGGATTGTGAGCATGCACCACCGTGCATGACTGGTAACTTTTCAGTCTTTCAAGGGTGTTCACCAGGGGCCAGGGCCATCTGAGTCCTGCACATCCTCAGCTTCAGTAGCCACACCAACAAAGACTTTTTCCAAATATCTTCACACCCTGTGGCTTAGGGTGGACATGCATTTAGTGGGAACACTATTCTAGCTGATTCAGGTACCCTCTAGGAAGTATGTGATCCCGGTGAATTCAGGTGTCATCGGCTATGACTCTGCTAGTTCCAAGGACAGGAAAGTGGCTCATCACAGCAATGCTTTCACTATCTTGGGCCCAAAGCATTTGCTGATTGTCTCTAAGTTCAGCTCTTCACCTGGCTAGGTGGTTAAGAGAAACGTGGATACTATTTACCTCCCCTGGGTCCTTCCTTGTTCCAAGACACCACTCTCACTTTAGGCAAGGACAGCACCTTGGTTTCAAGCCATTGTAACCCTCTTGATACTCTTGAGACCCTAATATGCAGGCTGATTAGGTTATGTTATCTGACACTCCAGCACACTGGCCTTCAGCCTTTTCCTGCGCCTGTGCTCACACTTGGTGACGTCGGTCAGTCTGTGACTCCTGGAGAGTAGGAGATTAAGGGAACCAACCCTGAAGATACTGTACACCTGGACGCTGTAGTTAAGACCCTCACCCAGCATAGGCAAACCACAGGGGAATGAAAGTCCTAAGGATGAGACCCTCTAATCCCTGGACTGAATTCGGGATGTGCTGAGCTTGGGAGACTGCTTGCCTAATGAGCCCGAAGCTCCGGGTTAGATCCCCAGTGCTATATAAACTGGACATGACGGTGCATGCCCATAACCCCAGCATCAAGAGGCGATCCTTAGCAAGATCAAGGCCACATTAGGTTATATCAGACCCTGTGACAAAACAACCAGTGGACAAGACTGACACCTGGCATGGATGTCTGGAAAGGTGCCCACATCTAAAGACTGGGTTGTATGCCCGGAGCTGGGTCCTGGAGAAGGGAAGCATGGAGCAGGTCACATATAGGCCTGACAGGACACTGGCAGGCTCGGGGAAGGCGATGGCATAGTGACTGCCAGTTCTGACCTCTTCTTAGGCAAGAAACTTGGGCATAGCCCCAGTGAGTACCAGATGAGACTTCTCCCGTGGAACGAAGTGTTCCTGGCTAGGTCTGGTTCTAGGTGTCCATGCTGTTCTGGGTTTCATCCACTTCTGACCAAGTCAGACTCCAGGGTCTAAGAACACTCGCTAGTCTTGGCTGTGGGTGGCACTGCTTTAGCCTCAGTCAGCTTCCTTCTCACGCTCCGAAGCCTAAACCCACAGGAGAACCAGGCATGGGGTTGGGGTATGTGTGTGTAGTTGCTCCGAGCTGAAGCCACATCACCCTCTCCTGCTGGAGGTGAGAAGAACGTGCTGGCCCAGGGAAGGGATGGAAACGGGTGGGTGACGTAATAGTGACAGGTGGGCCTGGGGTCTACAGCTGCATACCTGCACCTTGCTGAGCCAGCAGGGAAGAGGTAGCCAGGGTCTCAGAGAGTTTGGTAGAGTACCCAAAAGGGCATGTGAGTTGTGGCCTGCATTGCACAGGGACCAGCCCTGGAGACGGGAAGACATACTGAGGCTGTGGGCGCAAGTTGCCACTGGCTCACTTGGTTAACCCTTGCGCTTTCTGAGCCTCAGGCTGGGGGCTTCAAGGAGAGGAAACAGGACACAATTCTGCCCTGGAGAAAGGCCCACCTGTGTGATCAAAGACTGGACTTTGGAAGAACTTGGTGTGAGGCAGGGGGTGTAGATGGGCAAACTGAGGCAGGCAGAGTGTCCCAGCAGAGGAGAGAGTCTGAAGTCTCAGCCACTGCCAAGTAGTTAGAACCCCCAAGGTCATCCAGAGTCATCCCAGAGGGGGTAGGTCAGACACATATGGAGGCTAGCGGATGCTTCACTGTGGGTTTGAAGATAAAGGAACGGGGCTGTGAACTGAGGGATTCTGGAACTTTCAGAATCTGGGAAACAAAGAATCCAGTTTTTCTTGCAGTCTCTGGAATGTCACCTGACACCTCAATTTCAGGCTGGTGAAACTCTCCTGGACTCCAAGCTTAGGTGGATTCTTGGGACTCCCACCTAAGCCACACAGCTGACATCAAAAGCTTTGGTAGAACAGGAACACCACAGTGAGAGTCATGACTGCAGATGGGACTGAGTGGATTTCTGGGAACCTGTGACTCACAGCACGGGGAGCCCCTGTACCAATGTCCTAGTTGAGATCATGCTCAAGTGAGGCCAAGAACTCCAGAGCCGCCAAGCTGCGGTGGCGCACACCCTTAATCCCAGCACTCAGGAGGCAGAGACAGGTGGATCTCTCTGAGTTTGAGGTCAGCCTGGTCTACAGAGTGAGTTCCAGGATAGCCAGGGCAACACAAAGAAACCCTGTCTCGAAAAAAACAAAAAATAAAAAGGAAAAGAGAAAGAACTCCAGAGTCAAAAGCTGGCTGTGGTGGGGTCCATGATTGTAATCTTATATCTAGGGAGGCAGAGACAGGAGGACCCTGGGATTTAGTTAACCTAGTCTTCTTTGTGTGTGTGTGTGTGTGTTTTGGGGGGGTTTTGTTTTGTTTTATATTTTGAGACAGGGTTTCTTTGTTTAATAGTCCTGGCTGTCCTGGAACTCTCTTTAAAGATCAGGCTGGCCTTACACTCACAGAGATTCACCTGCCTCTGCCTCCAGATTGCTGGGATTAAAGGTGTGTGTCACTACTGCCC